TGTATAATACTGAAGTCAGGGGTTTTAGTGTGCCCGTCACCAGAATAGTGTTCACTGTACCTGATAGGTAAGGTTTTAGCCCTCACCTCCTTCCCACCGTCCCCCTTCTTGGTCTCCAATGTCCTTTACATCTGTTTGTGCCCGTGTGTGCCATTGTTTAGCTCCCACTCTTAGTGAGAACGTATGGTGTTTGTTTTTCCATTCCTGAGATACTTCATCTTCGGTAATGGGTTCCATTGGGTTTTTTGTTTTTTTTTTGAGACAGAATCTCGCTCTGTTGCCCCGTCTAGAGTGCAGTGGTGTCATCAAAGCTCACTGCAGCCTCAAGCTCCTGGCCTCAAGTGATCCTCCTGCCTCAGCCTCCCGAGTAGCTGGGACTACAGGTGTGCACCACCATGCCCGGCTAATTTTTCTGTTTTTTATAGAGACGGGGTCTCGCTCTTGCTCAGGCTGGTCTCAAACAATCCTCCTGCCTCAGCCTCCCAGAGTGCTGGGATTACAGGCGTGAGCCACCGCGCCCAGCCTCCATTGGTCTCGATGCCTGTTTGATGCTTACACCACGCTGCCTGATTACTGTCCCTTTATCGTGAGTGCCAAAGTCAAGTAATGTCAGTCCTTCGATGTTTTCAAAGTTGTTTCGGGTATTCTAAGTCCTTTGCATTTTCATATGAATTTTAGGGTTAGTTTGTCAATTTCTATAAAAAGTCCTGCTAAAATATTGACTGGGTTACATTGAAGCTGTAGATCAATTTGGGTAAAATTGGTGTCTTAACAGTTTTGAATCTACAGATCCATGAACACTATATATTCTCCCCAAAGGTGTAGGTCTTTTAAAAATGTCTCTGAACAATATTTAAAATTTTCAGTGTATAGGACTTCACATCTTTTGTTGGATTTATTCCTGTTTTTTTATTTTTTGATGCTCTTATTAATGATACTTTTTTAATATGTGAATTTCTGGTAGAGTTTGTATAGAATTGGTATTAGTCCTTCCTCAAATATTTGGTGGAATTTTCCAGTGAATTTTCCTTTGTGCCGGGAATTTTCTTTATGTGAAGTTTTTTAACTGAAAATTCAATTTCTTTTTCTCTCTTGCTTTTTTGTTTTTAAAGACGCGGTCTTACTTTGTCACCCGGGTTAGAGTACAGTGTAGCTCACTGCAGCCTCAAATTCCTGGGCTCAAGGGATCCTCTAAGCTCAGCTTCCGGAGTGGCTGGGACTGCACCACCACAGCCAGCTATTTTTTTTTTTTTCCAGAGACAAAGTTTCACTCTCTGTGTTGCCCACACTGGTCTCGAACTCCTGGGCTCAAGTGATTCTCCTGCCTCAGCCTCCCAAGTAGCTGGGACTACAGGCATGAAGCCACTGTGCCTGGCTCAGTTCCTTTTACAGCTACAGGGCTATTCAGGTTATTGATTTCTTTTTGAGTGAGCTTTGTGCATTTCGTCTTTCAAGGAGTTTGTACATTTCACCTAAATTGTCAGATTTATTGACATGAAGTTATTCATACTATTCCCTTTTTCTTCACCCTTTCCTTTATTATCCTTTTTAATTTCTCTAGAATCTGTAGTGATGACACTGATAGTGATATTTTGTGATCTTCATTTTTTTCTTATCAATCTAGCTAGAAATTTATTAATGTCGATCTCAATAAAACAGCTTTGGTTTTCATTATTTGCTCTATTTTTGTTTTTATTTTCATTGATTTCCACTCTAATCTTTATTATTTCTTATTGCTGAGTTTCACTTGCTCTTTTTTTAAAAATGGAAACATCACTCTTATTGATAGTGTAGGGCTACAATGGGCAGTTTTGCAGAACAGAAATTAGACAGTCCCAAGACGACAGAGTATAAAATCGTAGCAGACAGCTTAATACTCTTCACCCTCATCCTCTCCCTCAGTGCTGTCTACTCCAACCTCATAATCCTTTTCAAGGGCAGCCATGTCCTCGCGGGCCTTGGAAAATTCTCCTTCCTCCATCCCCTCACCCATGTAGCTGTGAACAAAGCCACATTTAGCATATGTCAGGTCAGACTTGTGGTCCCAGTGAGCCCGGGCCCCATGCACACAGCTCTCTCTGCCGTGGCCAAATCCACCAGGTACCACAATGGAGGCTGTTGACGCCAACCTTGAAGCCAGTGGTACACCAGTCCACAAGCTGGGTGGTGCACTTGGTCTTGATGCTGGCATTGGCAGGATCGGCATCTTTGGGAACCATATCACCACAGTACAACAGGCAGTGAGCCATGTGTTAGGTCACTAAATATGAAATATTCAATTTTGAATGAAAAGTCTAGTTTACTATATCTCACACAGGAAGCAGTACAATTAGTCAAAGTGTGCACCTAAACTATTGACACAGTTTTGCCATCTCAATGGTAGTTTGTTTATGTCAGCAGTGAGGAAGCCTGGAGAGTGAGTGGCAATTGTGAAAGGCATTTTCCACAGCTTGTTGAGAATTGAATTTCATTTTTCCTTGCAAGAAGTGGTCCAGAGCCTGGAAGAAGTGATAGTTGGTTGGTGGAAGGTCTGGTGAAATACGGTGGATGACAACAGTTTCCAAGTCCAGCCTCTGTAGTTTGAGCAGCGTTGTTTTTTGCAACATGTGGTCTTGCAAGAGGATTTGGCCTGCATTTATTGATCAGTCTCGGCTGCTTAATCGGAAGCATCCTCATCATTTCATCCAATTGGTTACAGTAGACATCCTCTGTGATCGATTGACCAGGTTTCATGAAGCTACAGTGGGTAATACCAGCGCTGGACCAAACAGACAGCATTAGCTTTTTTGGATGAATATTCCATTTTGGACTGTGTTTCGGCACTTCATCTTTATCCAGCCATTGTGCGAAATGCTTGCAATTGTCAAAAAGAATCCATTTTTCCTCACACATAACAACATGGTGTAGAAATGGTTCACCTTTATGTCGTGACAGCAAAGAAAGGCAAGCTTTGAGACAATCTGACGCTCCTTTAATTCATGGGATACCCATATATGCAGCTTTTTTACCTTGCCTGTTTGTTTCGAATGGTCCAATATTGTTGGAATAGTAACGTCAAACCTTGCTGCTAATTCATGTGTAGGTTGAGATGGATTTGTTTCCACTATAGCTTGCAGCTCATCATTATCCACCTTGATCTCAGGTCACCCACATGGCTCATTTTCAAGATGAAAATCACCAGAATGGAACTTTTCAAACCATTGTAGTGCTGTGTGCTCATTAGTCATGTCCTTCCCAAGCACTTCATTGAGACTTCGTGTTGTCTGGGCTGCATTAGTTTCACAACAGAACTCATATTAAAAAGTAACGTGAATTTTTGACTTATCCATGATTTCACAAGAATTACTCTAAAAAAAATTTGAATGATAATCACAAGCCAAAATGTGCATTTGAAAGAATGAGGATGTACCTGCACCATAGAAATAAAACAACAAATGTCAAAGTGAAATGTCAGAGGTATCAACTGTCAAACTTAGTACTTAAGGAAATTGGACATTCCATACTTAAACTAGTATTTACCATGGCGAGGGTCACATTTCACTGTCTGGTTGGCTGGCTCAAAGCAAACATTGGAAATCTGCTTCAGTAAGCTGTGCGTGGTAGGCTTTCTCAGCAGACATCGCAGGGGCATATGTGGCCAGAGGGAAGTGGGTGTGGTGATAGGGCACCATGCCGGTCTGGAATTCTGGCAGATCAACCTTCAGGGCTCCATCAGTCTGAGGGAAGCAGTATTGGAGGACACAGTTTGGCTAATAAGGCGGTTAGTGTGGAGGTCGAGTGCCCCACGTCGATATTTCATGTCACAGATGGTCTCCCTGTCGACCATGAAGACACAATCAGAGTGTTCCAGGCTGGTGTGGGTGGTGAGGATGGAGTTGCAGGGCTCAGCTACAGCTGTGGAGACCTGGAGGGGGTGGGTAAAAGGAGAACTCCAGCGTGGACTTCCTGCCGTAATCAACAGAAAGGCGGTTCATCAGCAGAGGGGTGAACGCAGAGTAGTCCCCCCACCAACGCTGTGAAAAACCGAGAAGCCCTGGAGACCTGTGCACTGACTGGCCAGCTTGCGCATTTGGTCCAAGGCGAGGTCAGTGATCTCCTTGCCAATGGTGCAGTGCCCGTGGGCATAGTTACTGGCAGCACCTTCCTTGCCTGTGATGAGCTGCTCAGGGTGGAAGAGCCGGTGGTAGGTGTTAGTGCAAACTTTGTCAGTGACAGTGGGCTCCGAGCCTACAAACACTACCCTGGGCACGTGCTTGCCAGCACTGGTTTCACTGAAGAAGATATTGAAGGAGTCATCTCCTCCCGCAGTGTTCTTGTTGCTTGGCATCTGGTCATTGAGCTGGATGCCGTGTTCAGGCAGTAGAGCTCCCAGCTCTACACGGCCAGCCTGGCCAGCGTGGATGGAGATGCACTCACACCTCACGGGCACTGGTGGGCTCCGTAGTGCTAGAGGAATGGAAGGGATGGCAACACTCACAGACTACCTGGGAGTCGGGGTGGGGAGGGGAGAAGTAGTGAATATGGGTTTTTTTTTTTTTTTTTGAGACAAGATCTTGCTGTGTTGCCCAAGCTGATCTTCAACTCCTGGCCTCAAGCAATCCTCCAGTCTCAGCCTCCCAAAGTGCTGGGATTACAGGCTGAGCCACCATGCCCAGCCTTTTTTTTTTTTTTTTAAAGAGACAAACCCTCGCTCTGTCACCCAGGCTGGCATGCAGTGGCCTGATCACATCTCCCTGTAGACTTGGATTCCTGGGCTTAAAGGATCTTTCCACCTCAGCTCCCTAGTAGCTGGGACTGCAGGTGTGTGCCACCATACCTGGCTAATTTTTAAAATTATTTTTAGAGATGGGGTCTTGGTGTTTTGCCTGGGCTGCTGTAGAACTCCTGGCCTCAAGCAATCCTCCCACTTCAGCCTCCCGAGTTGCTGGGGTTACAGGCGCAAGCCACTGCTCCCAGCATTTTTTTTCTAATTTCTTAAAGTGGCAACTGAGGTTATTGATTTGAGGTCTTTCTTTTGTTCCAATGTAGGAAAAAAAGGAGTCTACTGCTATAAATTAGCCTGAGAACTGAATTCTAGAAATTTTCATTAATTTAAAATACTTTCTGATTTCCCTTTTGATTTCTTCTTAGACCCATGGGCTATTCAGAAGTGTGTTAGTTTCTGTATAGTTGGGGATTTTCCAGGTATCTTTCTGTTGTTGATTTTTAAATTTAATTTAATTGTGGTCAGACAACATACTTGTTATGATTTGAGTCATTTTAAATTTATCGAGACCTGTTTTATGGCTCGTAGTATTATCTATGAGGGGACTCAAAAAGCCCGTGGAAAAATGGAATTGAAAAATAAAAAAATATGTAAACTTTATTTCTCAGCAGAAGGTCCATTAAGATCAAGACACTTTTGTAAGGGATGATCCCAGCCACTTAGTCCACCCCTAAAGAACTGAGGGTCCTGGGAATTTAGCCAGGTCACTCATTGCAGTCTCTTTTCTATTATTCACTGAAGAAAGATGGGTGCCCTTTACAAATTTTTTAAGATTAGAAAACAAAAAGAAGTCAGAAGGAGCCAAATCAGGACTGTAAGGTGGATGCCTAATAATTTCCCATCGAAACTCTCACATATTTGCCCTTGTTTGGTGAATGGAATGAGCAGGAGAGCAGCTGTGGAGGGGGAGGACCCTCTGGTGAAGCTTTCCTAGGCATTGTTCTGCTGAAGCTGTGGCTACCTTTCTCAAAAACGCTCATATCAAGCAGATTTTATCATTCTTTGGCCCTTTAGAAAGCCAGTAAGCAAAATGCCTTGAACATCCCCAAACGTTCTTTTTTTTTGAGACAGTCTCGCTCTGTTGCCCAAGCTAGAGTGCCGTGGCGTCAGCCTAGCTCACAAGCAACCTCCAACTCCTGGGCTCAAGCGATCCTCCCGCCTCAGCCTCCCGGGTAGCTGGGACTACAGGCATGCGCCACCACGCCCGGCTAATTTTTTCTATTTTTAGTAGAGACGGGGTCTTGCTCTTGCTCAGGCTGGTCTCCTGAGCTCAAGGGATCCTCCTGCCTCAGCTACCAGAGTGCTGGGATTACAGGCGTGAGCCACCGCACCCAGCCTATCCCCAAAGGTTGTTGCCATGACCTTTGCTCTTGACCAGTCTGCTTTTGCTGTGACTGGACCACGCCTACCTCTTGGTAGCCACGGCTATGATGGTGCCTTGTCTTCACGATTGTGCTGGTAAAGCCATGTTTCACCTCCTGTGACAATTCTTCAAAGAAATGCTTCAGGACCTTGATCCCACTTATTTAAAATTTCTGTTGAAAGTTCTGGGCTGGTTGTGGTTCATGCCTGTAATCCCAGCACTCTGGGAGGCCAAGGTGGGAGGATTGCTTGAGGTCAGGAGTTGGAGACCAGCTTGGGCAAGAGTGAGACCAATCTGAGCAGGAGCGAGACCCTGTCTCTACGAAAAATAGAAAAAAATTACCCGGGCACAGTAGCACACACCTGTAGTCTAGCTACTCAGGAGGCTGAGGCAGGAGGATCGCTTGAGCCCAGGAGTGTGTGGTTGTAGTGATGACGTCACTGCACTCCAGCCTGGGTGACAGAGGGAGACCCTGTCTCAAAAAAAAAAAAGAAAGTTCTCTTGTCTACAGCTGACCTGCGCATAACGGTTTTGGCATCCATTGAATGGAAAGTTTGTTCAACTTTAATTTTTCGGTCAGAATAGTGTAAGCTGAACCAATTGAGATGTCTGTGGTATTGGCTGTTGTTTCTGCTGTTAATTGTTGGTCCTCTTGAATGAGGGCTCGAAAAAGATTAATGTTTTCCTCACAAATTCATGTGGATGGTCTGCCAGGGCAGGCTTCATCTTTAACATTGTCTTGTCCCTTCTTAAAACGAGATATCCGTTTGTAAACTGCTGATTTCTTTAGGGCATTGTCCCATAAACTTCTTGTAAAGCATCATTGATTTCACCATTCTTCTATTGAGGCTTCATAAATTTAATGTGATTTTGCTTCAATTTTATTGGAATTCGTGTTGCTCTGATAGGGGCTCTGTTAAATTGGATGTCTTATCCTTTTTAGTGCCTCAAACTAGATCCCATTCAGACAGGTTATACAAATTAGTATGAATTTATTTTGGTGCAAAAAATTTTGAAATCCAATTTTTTCATAATACGCATTTTCCATGAACTTGCTGATGATCCCTTGTATTATGATCAGTGTTCCGAGTACATTTGGAAAGAGTGTCTGTTCTGCTGTCCCGGGTGGAGTGTTATAAATGTCAGTTGACAGTGGTGTTCAGGTGGTATCCTTGCTGATTTTCTGTCTGCTTGTTGTGGTAACAGGGGCATTGAAATCTGATTGTATTTGTGGATTTGTGTAGCAGTTATAGCAGTTTGTCTTTCATGCATTTTGAAGTTCCGTATAATAGATGCATAAACACTTAGGGTTATGTCCTCTTGATGAGTCACCCCCTTTATCATTCTTAAATGACCTTCTTTATTCCTGATAGTATTATCTGCTCTGAAGTCTGCTTTGTGTGATATTAATATAGCCACTCCGGCTACCTTTTCATCAGCGTTAACTTGATATATCTTTTTCCATTCTTTTATTTTTACCTGTTCGCATCCATTTATAAAGTTTCTTTTAGGCAATATATAGTTGGGTCTTGTTTTTTTACTTATCTGACAAATTCTGCCTTTCAGTTGGGGTGTTTAGATCTCTCTATATGCTTATTGATTAGGGGAGTTTAATTAAAATCTGCCATTTTGTCATTTGTTTTCTGTTGGTACCATCTTTTTCCTTTTTTTCTGACTTCTGATTATTTATTTATTTTCTTTTTTTTAATTTCGGAATATTACGGGGGTATGAACATTTTGGTTTCATATATTGCCTTTGCATCACCCACGCTGAGCTATAAGTTTGCCCATCCCCCAGATAGCACACTCCACATTCGTTAGTTATGAATTTACCCATCTCCTCTACCCCCTTCCCACCTGCCCGGCACCCGATCAGTATTACTTCTGTGACTTCTGATTATTTTTTATTCTATTTTGTCTTTGTAGGCTTATTGGCTATAATTCTTGTTATGTTATTTTGGTGGTATTCATCTTTAATTTATTCCAGTCTACCTTCAAGTGTAGACCACTTTACCTATAGTTAAGAACCGTAAGACAGTGTGCTCTGTTTCGTCTTGCCAGCTTTGGTGCTATTACTGCCAGAATTTTACTTCTGCATGTTACACACTCCACAGTATAGCATACATGTTTTTCCTTTAAATAATTTTAGGTTGACAGCATTTTCCTTTTTACTTTCAGAACTTAAAAATGTCACCTCACTGTTCTGTAGGCTGTGTTGTTTCTAATGAGAAATCTGTCATCTTGACATTTTTCTTTGCATAATACATTTTTTCTTTGGCTGCTTTTAAGATTTTCTCCCTGTTGCTGGTTTTGAGCAGTTTCATTCCAATGTGACTTGGAGTCATTTTCTTCATGTTTCAGGTGCTTGGGGTTCATTGAGCTCCTTGGATTTGTGGGTTTATAGTTTTTGTTAAATTGGGAAATTTTTTGCCATTATTTCTTCAGATATTTTGACTGTTCCCCACTCTGGTGACGTGTGTGCTAGGGTGCGGGGAGTTGTTCCACAGCTCGCTGATGGTCTGCACATTCTTTCTGGCCTTTTCCGTTCTGCGTTTTAGTTCAGAGAGTTTCTATTGTTATGTCTTCACGTCACTAATCTTTTCTTCTGCAAAGCCTAATCTGTTAGTCCTCTGCAGTGTTTTTCTTCTCAGGTGTTGTAGTTTCATCTCTAGGTAGCAGGTTCTTAAAGGATCAGACAGTACATATTTTCAGCCTTGCAGGCCACACAGTCTCTCTTGGTGCTACTCGGCTCTGCTGTTGTAGCTCGGAGAGCAGCCATAGATGATACGTATTTGTGGCTGTGTCCCAATAAAATGTTATTTAAAAAACAGGTGGGAAGGGCAGGATTTGGTCTGCGGACTACGTTTTGCTGACCCCAACTTCAGTTCACGCTGTTACTCTGCTGAGTTATTTAATACTTTCCTCTGGTCCTCATGTTGTTATATAATTGCTCCCAGAAACCAATGCCAGATTTACCTTGCTTAAAACCCAGGTCCTCTCATGTTACTTACAGGCTAAGTAACCTCTGGCAGCCCATGACATACTAAATAGAGGTCAGAGTTATCTTACCCTTGGAGCCTCCAGCAGCTGGGGCTTCTGACATTTCCAGATGCATCTGCAGTGATCCCCCATCTGTCAGCTCACGCAGTCTGCTTGGTATGCCCCCCACTGCTCCCCGATATTTCCTTAAGTCCTGCCTTTTCTGGGGTTCTCTATTAACTCATGTACCTTGTGAGACCATCGCTTTCCTCAGAAGCTCTGTTCACATCCTGCCTTCTTTAAGAAGCATCCAGAGCCCCTCAGCTGGAGGCACTTTCTCCTGTCATGTGTTTGGCTCTTTGTCAGAAACCTGTGTGTGTGTCCCCGCGCTGTCGACCTGGAATCCCTTAGGAGGTGAGAGGTGTGCCCTCTCGTCTGTGTCTGCTGCAGCCCAGTGCAGAGCCCGGCTCAGGGTGCGTGTCTGAAGTGACACAACAATTATTGTCTGGAGGGGTGTTGCTCTGTTGGTTCTTGGCTCCTCCTTGGGGAACGTGTGTCCCGGCCTGTCGGAGGAGGTGGGCTGTGGGCAGCTGCCAGGTCTCCCCAGGACTTGGTGGCGGCAGTGCCTTTGCCAGTCCGATCAGTCTTCCTACTGTCCCTTCCTCAACGGCCTCTTGCCCTTTGGTTCCACAGAGCTGCGGTGCAACCCTGGGCAGTTTGCCTGTCGCAGCGGCACCATCCAGTGCATCCCTCTGCCCTGGCAGTGTGACGGCTGGGCGACTTGTGAGGATGAGAGTGACGAAGCCGACTGTCCAGGTGAGTGTGTCGAGCAGGAGGCGTGCACGTGACCCTGCCTCTTTGTCGCAGCTGGGCAACCGTGCCTCTCCTGCAGCGTGGAGACGGTGTGGCCTGGTGACCTGTGCTGTCTCCACGTTGGAAAGTTAGTTTGAGCTGACCCCTCCCTCTCTCTTTCTTTCTCACACTGTCTTTTTAAAAAATAGGTGCCCAACATCAGCAGATCCAGCACATGTAAGATGGCAGGGCCTGGGCAGTGGGGAGGCGAGCGAGGTGCCCGGGACACCGCATTTACAGAGGCGCTGCGGGCCCCGGACTTGCACAGCCCTGAGCCCTGCGCTTCTCTGGCTTCACCCTCGTCCTGGCTCTGGATGTGGGTGTCCCTTGAGACGTGGCTGGGATCCTGATGAGCGTGTTTTTCAGACAGGCCTCAGCGCTCCCTCCCCTCCTGCTGATGCACGGGTAACCTCGCGCTCCTGGGTTTTCTCCTGGCCACGGCAGCCTCCTGAAAATGTATGGACGGGCCATAAAATGTCTAAATCATTGGTTTTCCACCTGGTTTCCACCCCAGCACCCTCGAGGAATATAACATACTGCACAAATAACAGTGTTCACTACATCTGTCATTCTCAGCTTGGGTTGGGTGGAAGGTGTAGCTTCTCGAACATGCTTGTGCGTGGATGTGCGAGACACACATACATTCATACACAGATTTAAGACTCTACATGGTTCTCTAAAGCCCCCAAGAGGAAGGTGTCTTACCCCAGCTTGAGAAACACAGGCCTAAACGCTCAGCCTGGCATTAAGACTCCTTCACAGCCGGGCAGAGGTCTGCTTTGCCAACCTGATTTAGCACCACTTCCCTTGCGGTGGCTCAGCTGGGCTGTTTCCCGTGTGCACCCCGTTAATGATTTCCTAGCTGCACACTTCCTCTGTGCCTTCCTGTCTTCCTGGGATCCCCTTATTCTGTTTCCGCATGGACAAATCCTCCCCGTCCCTGCAGGCCTGCCTCAGATGTTACCACGGTGAGGGGCCACCTCTGGTCCCCCTGGCTGCATGTCGACCCCTGCCACTACCCAGCCTGTCCCTCTCGTACAACATCCAGAACTGCTGGTGATTCTCACCATTGCTGGGCTCGTCCTTGAGCCCTTGTTCCGGACCACAAGTTCCCCAAGGGCAGGAAACTTTGCCCTTCCTCAGTGGGACCTGGCCTAGGACGTGAAGGCTGTGCTGTAATGCCTGTAGGCCAAGTGCTAAAGGAAAACTGATTGGTTCCAACCAGAGGGATCAGGCAGGGCATCAGATAGAGGTGACGAGTGAGCTCTTTGAGGAGATTCCAAAATCAGAAGCAGAGATGGTCTGGCCAGACTCTCTTTGCCTGTGAAGAATGCTCCCTAGAGGGGACCCCTCCTAATCATCTCCCGAGCCCATTCCTCCTCCTTCGGATCATGCCTGTCTCTGGGCGAGGTGTTTGCCTTTCCAAATGAGGGTTTGAATGGTGGTGGCCCAGTCAGGAGCCCTGGGACAGCCCCGTGTCTGGGAGCCCACCTGGTGGCCCCTTGGTCAAAGCGCAGCCACGGGATGCAGATGCTCTATGTCGGTCAGCCTGGGGGGGCCATGTGGTCGTGGGTGGGAGCCTCCCCTGACCTGACTCCCAGGGTGAGACTGTATACCCAGCCTCCTGGAGAATTTCCTGCAGAGAGAACCAGGTGGTTCTCGGCTTGCTTAGAAATGGAAGCATAGCTTATCGCTGTTCTCAGAGTGTCACTTGGCTCTGCTTTTAAGGTTGTTTGTAATAACTGTCCCGTTACAGATACTGGAAACGGTAGTAGCCACGTTTGTGGTTGCTGTCTTGTTCACTTTGCTGTGGACTTGTTGAAGGCAAGGACTCTTTTGGACCACGCAGCCTACCACAGAGGAGGGTCAGCTTTGTGCTTGTGTTTTGGCTTGAAGTTACATAGGTTGCCGTAGTTTTTCTCCAGACAGAAAAATAAAATCGATCCTACAGAAGCTCTGGGTCATGAATAGGTGGCCCGCTCTAGGACCGGAGCAGTGAGGGCAGGACGGTGAGGAGTGGCGTGCGCAAACTCACGGAGGCGTAGCAGGGCCTGGGGGTGCTAGGACTGAGAAGGCCATTGCCCTGGCAGGGCTCACCCAGCGTCTCCTTGACTCGTGACCGTGTGTCTGCCCTGTGGTGTAGAACTTTATCACATTGGAGGGGGATTGGTAGGGGTGGTGAGAAAGATTGATTCTTGATTATTTTTAATGTTGGATTCTGAAAAATTTAAATTGTAAAAATATACAAATGGGCCACGCATGGTGGCTCACACCTGGAATCCCAGCACTTTGGGAGGCTGGCGGGGTAGGGGCGGGAATCACTTGAGGCCAGGAGTTCGAGGTCACAGTGAACT